CTAATGACCTGTTCCACATCCTTCATTTTTCTAAGAGGACCCATGACATCATGGATGATGTCTTGACTTGTATGTGAATTGTGTTTAAGTGAGGCAGAGCTGCACAAAGTGGTCAGCCTCACTCTCTCTCTCCCAAAGTCATCAAAGTCCAGTGGCAAGACACAAGACAACATGACTGTCAGTGACTTGGGAGACAGTGAATGATCTTGGCATCTTTGATGTCTGACCAAACTCTAAGGGCTCCACAGGGCCTGCTTCAGCTGTCTTCATGGCCATTGGAACGAACCGCTGCATTTGCCCGTTCTATATCTGCCCATTCTAGCAGAGGAAGTCTTCATATGCTTGGGGTAGATATCCCCCTAATTCACTGACAGGTTTTAGGCCTGTTGGTTACCCTCAATCTGGTTTATCCTGTCTGGCAAGACGGTTTTACCGGTGTGTGGCTGCTGTGCATGCCACAGCTTTTTGGAGCCATAGGTGAAGGTGGACACCAAAGGTGGATGAGCAGCCTTGAAGAGGATTCAGCAGCCCTCACACGAGAGGTGCTGGTCCACTTGAACACCCCATACACTTCGCCTGTCAGACTAGTGTAAAGATTAAGACATTGTTAATATCTATCATTTAGGAAACCCTAGCTGGGAGGGTTTTGTTAGGATTCCAACTCCTTGCTACAGAAATCCTTATAGTGACTTTTTTTGGAAACAGATAATCACAAAGGCTGTAGCCAAGCAAACATGGGGCCTCCTGTGTGGCCACATTTTAAATCCTCTCAGACATGAGAATGAGCTTGTGCTTCTCCCACAAAGGGACCTCAGGGACATCTGCTCCATGTTTACATAGCTAACCTATAGTTTTCCTTTGTGTTCCACAGACCTTCACTGTTGGCCTTGAGGACATTCTGCTATATAGCTGTTCGGAGAAATGTCTGGCTAGGTAGGTAAGTTTTACCCTGACGGCATAGCAAGATGAAGCATTTCCCTGGGGATTAAGCAGCTGGCCAATTTCCTGACAAAAAGGAGAATCCTTGTGAAACATCTGTAGGTGCTTAGTTACTCCAGGATCTAATTATTCTCCAATCAAAAGAGCTTTCTATATCAAAACTATAGAGTAGTAGGATTCCGGGAGGGTTATCAGGCTTTAGCAATAGTAATACTGAACACCATCACGATGAAATTGTATTCCAGCAGCCCTATAAATAGTGCAAGTGTAATTATTTCCATTTTAGAAATACAGAAACTGAGTCTCAGAGATTCAATAACTGACCCATAGTCACACAGCTAATCAGTACTAAAGACCAGACTCTACACCAGGTATCCTGACTACAAGTCACCACATTGCCTCTTAATATTTCCAAACTCCTGGCTCCCACCTTCACCAGAATCTCCTTCTATGGCCTGTCCCCCTCACCTGATGCCTTCATGATATTTATCAAATAACAGAAAACACGGCCCCTACTTGGGCAGTGCACACCAGTTTGATTAAATCTTGACAAACTAGCTAGGGTCAGAAGTTAAGTTGATGATCATCCAAAGAGGAGTAAAGAGGAACATGGTGGGTCACACATGACAAATAGTTATGCAGCAGTTTCTGTATTTAAAAGATGTCATCAGAGAAATATATGACCAAAAACAGGTGGGCCGGTCTCAGCAACAGTGAGCAGGAGCCCAAGGACTGCACAGATGCTCCCTTGGTATCCATGGAACGACGAGAGAATGTGAGGAAGGCCCCAGCACGCTGGGCAGATCCCACAGTGGCAGAGTCATGTAAAAGAACGTGGACAAGAGTCACACAGGATGGGTAGGTGTAAATGAGCAGCTCGGGCTGGAAGGCCTGGGTCTTGGCACATTCACAGCTCTTTCGCATTTGAGCCTGCTTGAGCGGAGCTGCTGCTCCCTGAGCTCAAGTTTCCAGTGAGAAAATTCCTTTCAACTTCTTTCCATTCCTATCATGACAATCTTGGTCCACATTAATTACCCTGGTGGGGAAAAGACCAAGAGGCACCGGGTGGAGCAGGTAATCTTTGTCCTTTTGCTCTACCTCCAGGATAGTTGATGGCCATCCCCACACCATCATTATGACTTATTTGCCTAGATAATTCAATTGATTTAAAACTATACTTCTCCTGTGGCTATACTAGGTTTAATTTATGCTCTGGATTAAGAGTTTGGTAAAGAGCTCTGATGATAACCTGAAGGTTTCTCAGGGCTGTGTAGAATATTAGGTTTACTACTTTTTAAGTCAGTTAACTATAGTTATCTTTTCATGGGACTTTATTTGATTCTGTAATTTTTTATTATTAAAATTTGGGCTCTTTCAAACTACAACTGTGTGCCTGCATATACTTAAGCTGCCACTCAGTAGTGGTGGGATACACAGGAAATGAGTTTAGAGGCCAAAGGCTGCTTTTTTTTTTTTTTCTTAAAGGGAAGCTTTGTTCTGAACCATCCACTGTTTAAAACAATTATAAACACTCCAGCTCCACATGTTGTGGATATTTGAGGAAGATTTAGTAATACAGTCTTGTCAAAAGTTGAAGAGTACTTGGAAGGGCTTCATGCTAGAAGTCAGAATTTTTGTAGCAATTTTTTCTTTCAAGAGAATTTTATTGAAGCTTTAAAAACATAATAATCATGTCCCAATACGACCCCCCACAAAACTCTTTGTGATTAAGTACAGTTAACAATGATAGCTAACATAAAGTGCTTTACATGTGGTTATCTCCTCTGATCCTAACAACAGTCCCATGAGGTAGATGTTGGTGTCTATTTGACAAATGAGGGCACTGAGGCTGAATAAATAACTTGCCCAGCGTTACACAGCTAGCAAGTGTCCAAGACAGAATGTGAACTCATGTCTTTCTGGCTCCGATTTTTACAGTTTTCCATGTACATTAACCCCATCTGACAGCATGTGCTTTGTTGCCCACCCACGGTTCACCTCTGTAAAATGAGATTTTTCATCATCAGCCCTTTAGAGTCAAGATCAGTCATTGCTCTGAGTTCTAATGCCTTTTTAACGGTTTTCTTCAGTTTTGGAGATCATTATGAATGTTGCTTTCCCCTTAAAGATTCTTCCAAAGTCTTCCCAAATTTTTCCCAGCCATTTCCTAATGTATGGGAGCCCAATTTGCTTCTAGTTGTTTTGCTAACAAAAAGTGCCTCTAGGAATTATAGACAGGTTTCTACTATTGGCCTCCTTTGGGTTTATTCCTAGCATAGGGATCTCTGGATCCTTGAAGCCAGAGTGGTTTTGATTTTGTTTCTGGAGTTCCAGTGCCTGAGAGGCAGCTCTGTGGAAGGACAGTCAGCTTCAAGTTAGAAGATCTGGGTCCAGATTTTACATAGGTGAATCACTGATCCCAGCTTCCTGGACCAGATGTATCAAACACAAACAGAAACAGAGTCACTAAATTCTGTCAAGTGTAACCTCCTTCTTTTAGAATGCAAGCTCCTGGAGAGGTTTACTTTTGTATTTTTATCCCTTGACTTCACACTTTGTGCTTGGTATTTTTCATTCATTCATTCATTCATTCATTCATTCATTCATTGAACTCACCTTAACTCCCTCAATCCATGTAGATCAGCTACTCTGTAACAGTTTATCTTAGAGAATAGGTAGCTCTTTTAAAACTATGCATTTATGAAAAAGTACAGACTAGTACTAGTAGAGGAAGTTTATGTGAAAGTTCCCTATACCAATGAAATCACAGGTGCCACCTTTCTCCAAGAAGAGGCGTTTATTTAGCTTTGCATTCTGTCGTTAAATTTACTTTGACAGATGTCGTGGCCTGTTAGATAGAAAGGGGAGCCTCTGACCCTGGAAGACCAGCATCTAACCAAGTTCCACTTCTGGACACATGCTGGCTTTATGAGCTTGTCCACTTCACCTCTAGGCAGCCCCTCTAAGCAGCAGGGAAGGTGTAGCCCTCCACTGAGTCTTCCTTTGTGGGGAACTTATGTCAATGACAGGTGCAGCCCCATCCTCTTGTAGTTAGCGATCTGGGGAGGAATCCTTGTTTAAATAACAAAAGTAACTATTCCAATATAATTGGTTTCCTCTGTGACCTTACGTTTGTGCACGTAAGGTCATTATTGTGAAAAGGGGTCCCAGACCCAAATAAGGTTAACAACCCCAGTCCTAGCAAACTGTAAACCCTCACCTTGCCTCTCTCTCCCCTCTCTGCAATCGCAGACCCCTCATACCCCAGCTCTCACCTTATGTGGTGGGGGGCTGGGCCTGCCAGCCAGCATACACCCCTTCCCCTTAATGCGTGATCCAGAGTGGCCTCAGACACTGACTAGCTAGCTGTATGACCCCGGGCAAATCACTTCCTTTCTGTGCCTCAGTTTCCTCCTCTGTAAAGTGTGGGGGTTGGACCTTTGACAGCCTCTTGGGTTCCTTCCAGCTTTAGGTTTGTGATCTCAAGCCGAATGTAACGGTAACTAGCATATAGCAGGCGCTTAATAAACGGTGATGGACTGATTAATGAAGGGCTTTAAAGCACTAGCCAGGTCTAGATTAGTGACCCCACGATCTCAAGTCACTGCCTCAGTTCCCTCATCTGTCAGAGGGGGACCCTGAACTCCCTTCCAGCTCTAGGCCCGCTCTGTAGTGACTCCAAGCGCCTAGGTCCCTTGAACGCCGTGCCTCGGTTTCTGAATCTGTAGAAGGGGCCGCAGACTGTTGTACATCAGTGACCCCACGGTCACCCTGGCACACAGCAGGCGCTTAATGGATGCGGGCGGCGCGGAGGCGGCCTCGGCCCCGGGGGCTCGACCAGGCTGGGCCGGAGGTGCGGGCCCAGCCCGAGGCGTCAGCTCCCGCCCGGGCGCCTTTCAAACTGCGTGTCTCGAGGTCCGCTCGGCAGGCAGCGCCGCTAATGGAACCCGCGCGAGGCCGCAGGCCAATAGGCGCCGCGCTTCCTGCCGCCGCCGGCCAATGGCGAGGCGCCTTCTTGGGGCGTGGGCGGCGCGGGCGTCTCTCGGCGCTCGCCTGGAGAGAGAGAGAGAGAGAGAGAGAGAGAGAGAGAGAGAGAGTGTGTATGTGTATGTGTGTGTGTGTGAGTGAGAGCGCGGAGCGGCCGGGCTTCCTACAGCCTCTCGCTCCAGCTCCGTCCGCTCGAGCGCCGGGCGCCGCGGCTCACGCCCATCTCGTGAGGCCCCGGGAGGCGGGGAGGCGGGCGGGGAGCGCGCGTGCGGGGCGGCCGCCGAGGAGATGCCCGAGTTCCTGGAGGACCCGTCGGTGCTGACGAAAGACCGGCTCAAGAGCGAGCTGCTCGCCAACAATGTGACGCTGCCGGCGGGCGAGCAGCGCAAGGACGTTTACGTGCAGCTGTACCTGCAGCACCTCACGGCGCGGAACCGGCCCGCGCCGCCCGCGCAGCCCCCGCTGCCGGCCCCGGCCGCCAACAGCCGCGGACTTCTCCAGCGACGACGAACGCGAGCCCACGCCGGTGCTGAGCGCCGCGGGCCGCGGGCGAGCAGGAGGAGGCGCCGCCGCCGCCGGAAGGGTACGGACCCCCCCCCCCCCCGCCGAGACCGGGGAAGCCACCCCTGTTTCCCCCCCGCCGAGATTGGGGACCTCCCCTCCTTCACCGAGACGGAGGACCTCCCCCTGCACCCCCCGCTGAGACAGGGGGATTTTTTTTTCCCCCCTTTGCTGAGACCGAGGACCCCTTTCCTTCACCCCCCCCTTCTTGTCTGAGACCGAGGACTTTTTCCCCCCCCCCGCGGGGAAGGGCGGACATTGTCTCTGCACCTCCCCCCCCCGGGGTACGGAGCGTTCCCTTCCTCCGCTTCGACAAAGCCCCGCGTCTGCTCTATTATCCTCCCCGCCCCCACCGTCGAGCTTCCCCCTCCCCCCTCTGCCATAGGGCGCCCTCCGCGTCCGGCCTCTCCGTCCCTTTGTGGCCGAGAAAGCCAGTCCCTGCCCGCCTCGGGGCCTCAGGTTCCCCCCGTCCTCTCGGGGCCCCCCTTTAGGACGCTCGGTCGTAAGTGGAGGGGTGGGCGGGCTCCGAGGTTTGCCAGGCGGGGCCTCAGATTCTCCAGCCGTTAAGTGGGGGCTTCGGAGGAGAGCGGCTCTGTGGGCCGGAAAGCCTCAGCTTTCTGGTCTGTAAAACGTGGGGTTTGGGGCGCTCCGCGACAGTCGGTGTCGTGAGCCCCCGTTTTCTGCCGGCGCTCACCCCTCCCCGGTCTATCTCCCCGTAAGGGGGCAGCGCCTCTGGGTCCGCAGCCCCCGCCCCACCCCGGGGGGCCCGGCTCCCCCGTCGGCGGGCTGCCGCCTCGTCCCGCTTGGGCTCCGGAGTGCTCGGAGCGCGCCCTGGAGGGCGGCGGGAGAGCTGCGGGGCTCGGGCCGGTGTTCGGTCGGAGCCGCCCGAGTTCGCGCCTTTTTGCCCACGCGGGCGCGGCGGCTGCGTGTGGCGGGGCGCGGGGACCCGGGGGCTCGGTGGGCCACCCCGGGAGGCTGGAAGACCCCTCTCCCGAGGGACCCGCCGCCCCCCCCCTCCCCAGCCCGCTCGTCGGACGCAGCGTCCCTAGCCGCGTTTTCTTGGCGGGAGCGGGGCCTCCAGAGGCTTTGTTTTGAATAAAGTGAGACACGGGTTAGGTTTCCCAGAGTTGGGGGCTCCGTATTCCAATCTGCGGTTTCCGGCCCCGTGTAGAACAACTGTGCAAACTGATGCTTTTACTAGAAAATGACGTTTGAGTAAGAGCTGAGACTTAGAGGAAGCGCCCTGCCGAAGGGTCCTTACCTTCAGGAGCTGCTTCTAGTTGCACGTGATTTCTTTTACTTACCAAATGCCCATGTTTGAAATCAGAAGACTGCCGTGTAAAACAGTTGGTGCAGTAGTGCCTGATTCAGAACTGTTTGGTAGTGGTCTCGGTCATTTTGTAGATTACCTTTTAAAACAAATCTTTGAAAGTGTGCCTGTAATAAAATAAATATTGAAATAAGTAGAATTTGGAACGTAGCTACTTCTAGTATTAAGGCAGAGTTTCTTTCAGAGCTACTTGTAGTCCGTTAATTGCAGTGCCTTTTTAATTATATAAAAATACTTGGTTCCCATCTAGAAACCAGTATATCGCACAAATGAAAAACTTAGGGTAGCCTGGTAAGATTTTGGGCAGTTCATTCTGGAATTAGAAATTAGAAATCAGGTCTAGTTTGTGGAGTAAGTTCTGCTGCTTTACTCGTCATGAGTTTTACATTTTTGAACAGGGCCCCCAGTTTTATTTTGGAGAATCTTGAGAAGTAAATAGTCAGTCAATTTAAATGCTCTCTGTCCTGTAGGAAATGAAGTTTTCTTTCAGCACTTCAGCATCAGCACTTAGGATCTAGAATTATATCAGCAAGCATTTACAAAGTGCCCTCTGTGTTGGGAACAGGGAGCACAGAGACGAGATGGAAGTGGCCCCTGTCTTCCAAGGAGCTTACGTTCCATTGGGGAGATAATGTGTATATAAATAAGTGTATAGAGTATGTAGCCAGAATATAAAGCCATTTTGTGAAAGCTCATCCTTAAGGATGTTTTAACAATTTAATAAATTGTTGTGTTCTTATCTGCTGGTGGATCTCTCAGAACTTAGCAAATTCAGCCCCCTGGCTTCTAAGCCTGGCTAGCTTGGTACATAGAAGCTAATGCAGCTTCCTGTGAGATGACAGTAAACCACCTCTGCCACAGTGAAGAGTCCACTGGGGGACTTCATCGGAGGAATTTTATAAACTTGTAACAGCAGCTTTCAGCCTAACATTACTTTTTAAACCAGACAGTACATCCTGAAGTGAATAACGTGCTTTTTTAGATAGATAAAATTATGTAAGTAGTTTATTTTGTAGCAGGGCAGTTCTTTTTGGCTATATGTACCTGTATTTTATTTAACTACTCTGTGCTGACAAGTATAATCTTATTAGATATCTTAATTCTCTCAATAAACTCTTAAAAAGAATATACTATTTTTATGTATATATAGGGCTCAGTAAGGTCAGAGTGAATGGTTTTTAACATTCTTAAGAACCTCTCTCCTAAAGTTAAAGTAATCTATGGAATGGTGGGTGTGTATCTACAAGTGTGATTAAAAAAAAAAAAGACTGAGGACCTGAATTAACAACAACTACTAAATTTGGTTCTTTGATTCTGTTATTTGGCAGCAGTTTTATTACTATTCTTCCCAGAAAGCCTTGTTGCTTCTATTGTATGCCCACCGTGCCAGCTAGGCCTAACCTAGCTACAGACCCTTCAGACAAATCCTTACTCTGTCGATGCAGGGTAACAGGGAGATTTTACAAAGAGGATTAGGAGTGGGAGCTGCTGCCTGGACATCTAAGTGGAGACTTCCAGTAGATGATGGTGTAGGGCTGGAGATGCAGACTTGATAGGTCATCCCAGGAGTGCTGTTGGTTGAAGCAAAGTATGCTATAGAAAGTTATTAAGGCTATCCAGTTTTTCTAGGTTGTCACAGACATTTCAGAAACAGCCTTTATCATGTCTTAAAGTTAGAAGTGACCTTAGAGATTGGTTACCTGAACAGGAACTCCCTGCTACATCTTTGAGCAGGTAAAATAATATGTTTTGAAGGTGATCTTTTTTGTTTTTCAGTAGAATTTTAAAATTAGTGAAAACTTGTCCTAGAGCAAACATTTCCCTCCTTACAGATTGTTTTGTCACATGTTTGTTTTGTTGCATGTGGTTGGCTGTATGAGAGAAATGTTGGGAATGAAAAAACTGTTTAAGGTTCCAGTTATCACTGTGTCCTCTTTGTTTTCTTAAATACCTTTAGCTTGTCATTAGAAAAAATATTTTAATGTTGAGAGCTTGGTTTTAAAAGGCAGCAGTTAGCTTTTGGTTTTGTATCTTTTATTCTAAGTGTTGAATGATTAGGATGATGACTAAATTAAACCTTTATATGCATTTCTGCAGTATGTTTCTAGTATTTAGACTTAGGTGGCAAATTGCCTTTCTCTTTCATGAAAATAATCATAAAATTTTGACTACTTGGAAGCTAGCAGCACTTTTTTTGAACAGTCCGCTGATGCAAGTTCATACCTGCAAATGTTAACCTCTTAGCAGAAAAATCTGATTCTTAAAAACATGCACCAGAAATTTTAAAATATATGTGGAAGAGTACTAAACTTGAACACACTTGTGAATTGGTAGGATTTTGTGTTTTACTTCGTGACCTCACTATACAGAAACCTCTATAAATATTACGCCCTCAGCATCGAAGCCACACTTTGCAGGTTGCTGCCATAAGAGTTGCAGTGATGTTACTGTTGAGTACTTTTTGCCATGTTCATAGTAATATAGATCACTTTGATTAATGGACCTAAAAAAAGATTTGGTCATGGGGTTAAAAAAAAAAGCATCTATTTCAAAAGACCATAACCAGTGCCATCAATAGGATTTCAGAGTTTGTGAGCAGTATAGATGTGGAGGATTGGAAAGAGTTGGTATTAGGACAAGAAAAATGAGAGATTTCATAGGACTGAGAAAAGAAGCAAGAGGAATGGTGCTTTGAAAGGGAGTTATAGGGTGCAGTGACTTATTTTTTGGCGCTGATGACTGGGTCTCCAAGGAACATTTTGAATCCTAAATATTATTTTGTTTTAGGAGTATCTTTTTAGTTGTAGAGTAATATTAGAAGCTTTATGTCTAAAGTGCTGCTAGGTTTCTAAGTCTCTAAGTTACGTTTGTTAAGAAGGAAGGGAGAAAACTTTTATTAAGTACCTCTTATGTACCAGTCACTAAGCTTTACAAATATTATCTCTTTGATCTTCACAACTACTCTGGTAGGTAGGTGCTATTACATTATCTCCATTTCGCAGTTGAAGAACTGAGGTCTACAGCAGTTAAGCGACTTGTGATGTGTCCAGGTTCACACAACTAGTGTCTGAGGCCCGATATGAATTCAGGTCAGACTAAAGGCCAAGGGCTTTCTTCATGACACCCCCAGCAAGCTTTTCTGCATATTTATTTTATCTCCACAGTTCTAACAAGATGTTGACTGACAAGGTTTGAAATAGGGTTTTTTTTCACCAGCATTATGAATGAACTGGACATAATTGTTTTTGATAGATGTTTACATTTGATAGCCTTTGTGACTGGCAGTATTTTAAAAGACTTCTTAATAATCTTGGTTTGTAGGTTATTTTCAAAGTTTGAAAAAAATGTGATATAGTTTATTTTGAAGGATGCTGTATACAAAACAATATTCTAGAAGCTGGAGATAAAAGTTGAGATAAAATACCCTGCTCATCCCTCCTGAAGCTTATCAGCTAGTTGGGGTGTTAGATGCAGATCTATCATTTGAATGAGTCCTGGATACTCCCTCTTACTGGCATATTGTCTCAACCTCTGTAACTCTCCTTTTTCTTCCTTTAGCAGCTGGGCTGTTAAAAAGCAAAACGAACACTCATAAACATTAGTAAACATCAATGCAATCTACTAAACTTGGTTTTGCGATCGTCTACTTTTAAATTAATGAATTATAACCTGAATCATAATTTCAGTCACTCCCTCAAAGTCTCTATCAAAATTCTTTGTTCATTCTTTCTTGTTCACTTTTCCTTCATCCTGCTGTTGTTTTTATTTGTTGTCATTATTTATAAACGTTTTTCAGCATTTCTTTATGTGCATATTGCCTTTATTTGCATTGTACATCCTGTTAAATTCATATAATTTATAACACTTTCACAGTATTCTGGCAGCAATGAAATTAATTGGATTAAAGAGGTGTGTGTGTTTGTGCTGATGCCAAGTTGATCTCCGTGGGGGTGCTCTGTTTATAATTCCATCAGCACTCAGTAAAGATGGTTGTTTCTCATTACTTAGTTTGTCCAGCTGCATGATTATGAGTTGGCATCTCAACGCATAATGTACAACTCTTTGATTATTAGTAATTTTTTAAAAGTGGTTATTAATATTTGTTTCCTTTTGGAAAAACTATCCCTTGATCATTTAGCCACTGAGGACTGGAAGTGGACTTTGTAAATTTTCAATTCTTTATATATTTTAGATGTCAAGTTAGATGTTAGTTAGAATAACTTTTCCTAATTTCTTTTTTCTTTTGATCCTTTGTTGTACAGAATTTATTTTATTTTGAAGTGATTGAGTATATCTTTTTTGTCCCTATTGATCCCTTCTATTGGCTTAATAGAAAGTCATCTATTATCTCCTAATAGTGTTCATATTGCTGTGTAAGGCTATTGTAATAGTGACATTGGCTATTTAATTTTAAAGTAAATTAGAAATGATGATATATTACGAAGTATAATACTTCATTTATATGTAATATAAATAAAATGAGCTGTTTCACAACTTAAAAAAATAAACATTTTTGATAGAAATCTTTCTGTCTTAAATACAGTTTTACCTTTTCTTTGTAGAAATGAATGGTATAATGAATGGAAAGGGCACTGAATGGAGTCAATATCTGGTGTTGTCACTGTCCTTACGTGACTTTGAGCAAATCCATAAGTTCTTTCACATTCAGCTTTCCCTATAGTCCAACTTTAACAGCCATACATTGCTACTGGAAAAACCATAGCTTTGACTATATGGACCTTTGTCAGCAAGGTGGTGTCTCTCCTTTTTAGTGTGCTGTCCAGATTTGCCATAGCTTTCCTTCCAAGGAACAAGTGTCTTAATTTCATGGCTGCAGTTGTCATCTGCAGTGATCTTTGAGCCCAAGAATATAAGATCTGACACTGCTTCCATTTCTTCTCCCTTTCTTTGCCATGAAGTGATGGGACCATTTGCCAAGATCTTAGTTTTTTGGATGTTAAGCTTCAGGCCAGCTTTTATATTCTCTTTCACCCTCATCAAGAGGCTTCTTAATTTTTCTTCACTTTCTGCCATCAGAGAGTGTTGCTGTTTCTCCTGGCAGCCTTAATTCTGGCTTTTGATTCATCAGAACCTGGCATTTTGCACAATGTGCTCTACATATAAGTAAAATAAATAAGGTTACAGTTTACAGCCTTGTAGTACTACTTTTCCAATCTTACACTAGTTAGTTCCATGTTTGGCTCTAACTTTTGCTTCTTGGCCCACATACAGGTTCCTCAGGAGACAAGTAAGATGATATGGTATTCCCATGTTTTGGGAAACTTGCCACATTTTGTTGTGATCCACACAGTCAAAGGCTTTAGTATGGTGAATGAAGCAGAAATATATCTTTTTTTTTTTTCTGGAACTCCTTTGCTTTCTCCATAATCCATCCAGTGTTGGCAATTTGGTCTCTAGTTTCTCTGTCTCTTCCAGCCTGTTCATTTGGAAATTTTCGGTTCACATTTTGCAGAATCCTAGCTTTGTAGAATCTTAAATATAACCTTGCTAGTATTTGAAATGACCACAATTTTTCCTTAATTTGAATATTCCTTGACATTGCTTTTCTTTAGGATTGGGAGGGAAACTGATCTTCCAATTCATAAGACTTAATTGATCATTTTGACTAAAATTTTTTAAAAACTGAAAACTTAAAAATTTAAAACTCTGCTGTTAAGTGTGTAAACTCAGAACTTAATTCATTAAATTCTTGTGCTTTGCTTTTTTGTCATTATTAGAATGTTAAAACATAATCTAAGAATAGGTTACTTTAAAAGCTCATTTTTACTTTCAGTGTAATTGTGTACAAAGTGTGCTGACATTCAAGATAAATGGATATTTGTTAATTTATGTGGAAAAGAATTAGAGGTATTTATGAAGAATGTACTGTTGTTTACAGAAAGCCACAAAGAAAACTGACAAACCCCGATCAGAGGAGAAAGATGACCTTGATGTCACTGAACTCACAAATGAAGAGCTGTTGTCTCAACTCGTGAAATATGGAGTAAATCCTGGCCCTATTGTGGGTAGGTTAATCTAAATTCTTTTCATTTTCAGAGAGAGTACCAGATTGTTGCATTTAGGTTTCATTTGAGTCAGAATTAGACAATACTACCTGACCCCATTACATCAACAAGAATCTAATAACTATTTACCATGTGAGTTTGAAGAAGTGCACAAAGTGCAAAGAAAAGCAAAAACCACATCTGTCTTCACGTTTACATTCTAGTGAGGGAGCTGTGTAAATAAATGATACATATGAGATAAATCAGATATTCAACAAAATGCCTTGTGTAAAGCTGTATGCTAAATGCTATTTATATATATACAGGTATGAAAACAGTGAAATGCGCTACCTAAAATCTGGCATTTTATACTATGGGTATTCCTACTAATGTAGATTGCCACCCTTTTGTGCCTCAAATGATTTGAGTTGTATCCCAACCTTACCCTGGTCTGCCAAATCATTTGGTATCCAAATGTGATGATCCTCCCTGACTTTAGCTTGGCTGGACTTCAGATACCAAAAAAATAGTCTGTCATCAGTCCTGAACTTGAAAGTAAAGCTTTTTCAAATTGATAAAACCCATTAGATTTTAGTGGAGAAAGGGTACCTTTCTATTTTCTGAGATGCTTTCCTGTATGATATCTAGACTTGGAGTCAAAAGCATTCTAGTCTTGACTGCCAAGTAACTTAACTATGTGCCATAGGATCAATTCTGTGAGCCTTAATTGTTCGCTCTGTAAAATCACTATGACATTCAGACAATTTACCTCTTAGGGATATTGTGAAGAAAGTATTTGGTGGATGTTGAGGCACTGCCTAGATGTGTGCTATTAAGAAGGATAATAGCATACAGCTGCAGTACTAAAGAAATTGGATTAGATCTGTTATGGTTCCTTGCAGCCATGTGTCACTTCACGTGTCACTGCTGTGAAGCATGAGGGTAGATATATCATTATGCAAATATCAATGGAGATTTGAGAAAGGAACCTGAGACTGATCGATTAAAATAAGTTGCCCGAGATCACAGAGGAGCAGGTAACAGCACCTGGACTAGAGCCCAAGGCCTTTTATTTTACCTTAGTCCAGTGCCCTTTTGTCTACCTCACCATAGTATGGTGGGAAAAACCTTGACGCAGACTCAGTAGAAAGAGTTCAACATATCTGCCAACTGTAGGACTCTGAGCAAAGCATTCATTTGACAAAGACAAATTATGTTCTTCCTGCCCTTCAGGATCCTATTTTCAATTGGGGAGATATTAAGTATAGAAAGATAGATAGCAAATGAATATAAGGTATGGGTGAGCATATAAGGCAAGGCCTCAGAGGCGATGCAATGCATAGAGTGCTAGGTTATACAGAGGTGACCTACATGAAGACCCAAGTTCGAATTGTGCCTCAGACATTTACTAGCTGTGTGATTCTGGGCAAGCCATTTAACCGTTTTCAGTCTCAATTTCTGTATCTGTAACATGGACGTTTTAGCGCACCTAGCTCCCAGAGTTCTTATAAGGACCAGATGACATGTTTGTAAAGAGCTTTGCAAACCTAAAAGTTAACTGTTGTTAAAGTTTGCTGAAATCATTTTAAGATTCCAAGCCTCAATTTTTTTATCTGTAAAGTTGGGGCAATAGTATTTGCACTATTTCCCTCACAGAATTTTGTGAAGAAAGCACTTTGTAGGCCTTAAACTACTAAATGAGTTATTTTTTTTTCTATGTAAGCTCAGTACAACATGCATTCCAAGATTTAGCTACAGTTGACTAGGAACTAGGGCCTCTTTACCTAACTTAGTAGGCCATAATATAATACTATTCCTCCATTACAAATTGAAAGAATATATTCACGAATTACAGAATCAATTATTTCTATTGATGATGTGCTAATGGGAGGGGCAGGTGACGGGATTGTCTTCTAAAGCTACCGCAGTCGGTGGCAATCTCTTCCAAAGCTGCAGACAAGAACAGTTTCTTGTCAGAATGACTTTTTGCAGTGCTTTGTGTACAGTGGTTCTTTCTCTTCTTTGTTTTGTGATATATTTAAGCAGACTAAAGTTGCCTTCACTCAATTATTTAATAAATTATGAATCTGATACATGCTTACTGTCAATTCCTTGTACGCTGCTGGTTGTAGCTCTCCAGCAACTACCATTGCCTCAAGGGTCAAATATAAACGTCTGTGTTTGGCATTTAAAGCCCTTCATAGTTTGACTCAAGTCTACTTTTTCAGACTCATTACACATTACACTTCACACACTATACCTTCCATCTAACTTGGCCTCTGCAGCCTTCACTTTCTTGTCTCCTTGCCTTTGGGCCCAGAGGCTGGCCCTGGAGTTATACCCCACCTCTTAGCTTTGCCTCAGAGGATCCTCTCCTACTTGAGGCCTTTCCTGACCGCCCCTTCCTCTCCCCATGTCTATTTTACGTATGTTCTCGCTGTGTGTGCATGCATCCTTTCCCTTCAATAGAATAAAACCCTGAGGGAAGGGACTGTTTCATTTTTGTCCCTGTATCTAACATAATACCTGACACAAAGTAGGCCTTTAATAAATAATGCCCATTAAATAATTAAAATAAGGTCGAGTCTGAGTTTGATTGCCCTTCATTTTGGTGTAAATGGCTTGAGAGAAATAGTAGATATACTGGGCAGCAATCTTATTCCAGAGGCAAACAGTGAAAACTTGTTTTCATAAAGATCCACCTTCTCTCTCCCTGCCACCCTTTCTCTATTCCCCTGAGAAAGCAAGAAAAAAACTAACCAAAAAACAACTCCAGTTACAAACATGTAGAGTCGAGCAAAACAAATTCCCTCCTTGGCCAGGTTTCCTCTCTTCCTGTCTGTGTCAATCTGCATTCTAAATCCTTCAGCTCTCTCAGGAGGTAAGTTTCATCGTGAGTGCTCTTGAATTGTGATGGGTCCTTATGTTCACCAGTGTTTCTAAGTCTTTCAAAGTTGTTTGTCTTTATTTTATTTTATTTTTAGGCAGTTGGGGTTAAGTGACTTGCCCAGGGTCACAAAGCTAGTAAGTGTCAAGTGTTTGGTCTGAGGCCAGATGTGAACTCAGGTCCTCCTGACTTCAGGGCTAGTGCTGTACCCACTGCGCCACCTAGCTGCCCCTGTTTGTCTTTATAATATTGTTATTGTTATAATAATAATTGTTGGTATTGTTCATATGTATATATTTGTTCCACTATATATAATAATATTGTTATTGTTCTGCTAACTTCACTCTCATCAGTTCATATAAGTTTTCACATATTTCTCTGAAACCTCTTCTCCCCACCACCCCATTATTTTCTTAACAGCACAGTAGTATTCTTTGTCATTCATGCATCTTATCTTGTTACCTTATTCAGCCATTTCCAGTTAATAGGCACCCCTTCAGTTTCCAGTTCTTTACCACCACAAAAAGAGCTGTTATGGTTCTTTCTGTACACATAGGTCTTTCTCCTCTTTCTTTATTCTTGTTGGAGTATAGACCTAGTATTATTGGGACCAAAGGTATGCTCAGTTTTATAGCTTTTGGAGCATGGTTCCAAATTGTTTTCCAGAATGGCTGGCCCAGTTCGCAGTTCCATTGGTAGAGCATTAATGTACTAGTTTTCCCACAGCCCTTTTTGTCTTATTTTGCCAATCTGTTGTGTGTAGAGTTTAAACCAGGGGTTCCTAACCTTTTTTTGTGGTTAAGGTTTTTGGTAGTCTGAAGAAAGCTATTTCTCAGAAAGGTTAATGGAAAATAAAAATAAATTCCCACCTCTTATCTCCCCCCATTTAAGTACATAGACACCCTTGAAATCTATCCACAGACCTCCCAGTACAAAATCTCAGGATTAAACAAATTATGAGTTTTTGTTTTGTTTTGTAGTATAAGTATTTTTGGTAAATATGTTTTCTTCAAATGCCAGATACTGATACTCATAGCTGATCATTTTAGGGATTCTTGTAGGAAGTCTAGTTTAGGTCTTGGGTTTGTGAAAGAAATTTGTTACAATTAATACTTATCTAGAAACCAATATAACTCGAAAGCAAGACAAATGTAAAAGGCTAAAAAGAGAAAAGGCTTTTTTAAAGAAGACTTTTTATCAAGACGCTTCATTTATTAATAATGAAATTGAATTATTTTGTAGTTTATTTAAATTTGATGTACCACTGTTAACTACTGAAGTTGAAACCATTCACATGGTTACGTTTAACACACCCATTATCAGTCATCAATATGAAATGTTTACTGCCATGCCTAGTGTGCTAGGTATTACAGGGAATACGAAAGAGGTGATGATGTAATTGGGCATATAAAACTAGTGTGACAAAATTAAGTGTTAAGTTTTATGATTTTGATTATAAGTACATTAATTAATTTTAAAAAGCAATCAGAATGGATTGAATTTGAGGGAAAGTTTCAGATAAGAGATAGAAATTACAGTGGGACTTTAAGACAAGAAAATGATGTTTAAAACTTGCTTGGAGTAGTAAACATGTTGGGAGAGATTTGATAGGGTCAGAATAAAAATGATATCTAAATAGGATTAGTTTCCATTCTCTGTGCCTTTGACTGACACGGCATGTTTATTTTTTAACTATATAGATCCGTTAAATATGAAACTAATTACTAGTAGGAAAAGAGGTATAAAAAACAAAAGCAATAATGAAATGAGGGATCACATGACAGCAGTTACTGAACAAGTTTATTTCAATATAGGAACTACCAGGAAGCTATATGAGAAAAAACTGCTAAAACTGAGAGAACGTGGTCCAGAGTCAAGATCTTCAACACCTCTGCCAACAGTTTCTTCGTCAGCGGAAAATGCTAGACAGAATGGAAATGACGACTCAGATAGATACAGTGACAATGAAGAAGGTAAATTTTAATATACCAGTGGAAGAGCATGTAACTTTTATTTGGGATTTGGGTAGAGTAGTGCTACCAGGTAAAAGTATTTCAGGGCCCCAAAAGCAGATCTTTTGCCCCTGTGGTTCTTAATGAAGTAATGTGACCTGGAAGAATTTTTCCTCATGAGCACTGTAATTATTATGTACTTGTAAATGAATCTGACAGTTTCTGATATGAATAGAAAGTTAATTCTGATACTTTTTTTTTTTGGTTAGGCAATGGGGTTTAAGTGACTTGCCCAGGGTCACACAGCTAGTAAGTGTTATGTGTCAGAGGCTGGATTTGAATTCAGGTCCTCCTGAATCCAGGGCCAGTGCTCTATCCACTGCGCCACCTAGCTGCTCTAATTCTGATACTTTTAAAAGAGTGATGTGATTATGAGGATGGACATTCTAAAATCTAATCTAAATACAACAGTGTTAATATATCTCCTATTTCCCCCTTATTTCCTGATCGGTAATTTGACCCAGGTAGCCCATATTCCTATACTAATTCACTTACCAGGTTAAAGAGAGCCAAAACATTTCTGTGGATTTACAAGAAATGGAGGCTTTTCTTTCCACAACATCATTTTAGCAAGGAGGCAAAAAAGAGAACGAGGTCATCCACCCAACTATACTTAAATTTCCTGCCTCTTTTGCTTCTACAGGGAAGAAGAAAGAACACAAGAAAGTGAAGTCCACTAGGGAGTCTGTCCGTATTTCTGAACTTCCAACCTCTCCCTCTGGTGGATTTTTTCAGGCAGTTTCTTTTCCTGAAATTCGTGCCCGTCCTCCCTTGGGCTGGACTGAATTACAGGCAGCTAAAAGAGGACATAGCTCTAATAGAGACCCATTCAGGGAACCTCTGAATGCCTCCAGCTCACTTGGCATAGGACAAACAGAAAAAGAAGTTTCAGGGGAGGATCTTTTCAATTCTGCTAAGTATGGCCAGGATAGATTCTTGGGGAAAAGTTGGTTATCTTCTTCCCAACCTGAACCATTTGCCACATTGGCCTCAGCTGCCGCTAGGCCCTCATGTTCTCCTGCACTTAAAGAGCCCACCCCCAAGAGCCTCCGAGACCACTTAGAAAACCTTTGTGGTGGGAATAAGTATGAGTTTGGTTCTTCATTTACTGAGAGGGCGTGTCGTCTAGCACAGTCAGTTCTCTCCCAAAATAGAGAAGAGCCAGACATTTTAGAGAACTCACAAGTAATTACTCCACCTCTAGCTCAAGCCATCAGAGATTATGTTAATTCTCTGTTAATAAAGGCAGGAGCAAGTAACTTACCTGGAATTTCTAACCCCAGCTCAGCCAGTGTGGAAAACCTACATAAAGAGGTTGGCCGGTCTCACTTTCAAGAAACTGAATCCGTGTGTTCTCCCAAAAAATTCCTCAGACTGCATGAGAGATCAGCAATGGAAGGGGATTCAGGTTCTCTTCTTGCTCCTCAAGATAGTACAGCCTCTTCTGCCTTTGCAAAGGCTGTTATTTCTCAGTCACTCAGTACCTTAGGCATAGAAACTCCTAGGGAATGTCAGCATGACACATTAATCAGCCCAGAACCATCTTTTCCCCTCCATGAATCTATTTTAAAGGTAATTGATGAGGAATGGAGTCGCATTGATAAACAGATCCCTTCAGTGGTGAGCAAATACCCAGTTTCTTCTAGAGAGACATCACACATATTGTCGGTTCCCAAAGTGGATGATGAAATCCTAGAGTTGGCTTCTGAAGTCTCTTCCCCAGCATCCACTCAGGCTTGCAATAAGCAGCTTGATCTTGCCCTTTGTAGAACATATGAAGCAGCCGCAGGAGCCCTGCAGATTGCAGCCCATAGTGCTTTTGTTGCTCGGGCCATACAAACAGATATTGGTCAGGTTGCACAGATTCTCAGTTCTGATCCCAGTCAGATACCTGAGGCACTTAGGACTCTAAGCAAAACGTACGATGCAGCCTCATTTCTCTGTGATGCTGCCTTTGATGAAGTGAGGATGGCTGCCTGTGGTATGGGATCTTCTACTGTGGGGCGCCGGCACCTCTGGCTGAACAGTGACAGAGTCAGTCCCGCTCATAAGAATAAGCTGTCAGTGCTTCCCCTCAAAGGGGGAACACTGTTTGGAGGAGAAGTACAGAAAGTTATTAAAAAGCGTGGGAAGAGACAGTGAGAAGTTATAAGGAGAGATCTTTGCCATGGTGAATAAAAGCCCTGGAGACTTGGCTAGCAATTTCCGACTGATACTGGCCAAGCTCAACTCAACCCTTCCTTTTTCTTTGCACAGATAAAAGCCATATTCCTAAAACATTTAAAACATGAGAGTTGGCGTTTTTATAGTTTATGGTTTGCGAAGTACTACCAATTATTCCTTTCAAACTTTGGTGCGTTTTCTTCTGTACTTTTCATTTGGGGTTATATTTCTGTAGGATTACGAAACTTTTAATAGATATGAGTTTATCATCCTTTCATAGTTATGTGTACGTTTTTATAGCTAAGAAGCAAAATAAAAATCTTAGGTTCATTTCAGTACTTTTAAAGATCTATCATTTCACTGCTGTCAGTATTTTTTCTGCCAAAGCAAATTACATCATACGCTTTAATAGTTATAGTGACCAGCCTTCTAATGAATCCTTCTCCAAACTTTATTAGTCCTCTGATATTTGTTTGTCTCTGGACTGTATTAGAAGTCTTACTGCTTTATCATACCATGCAAAACTTGTACATCGTTAGGATAGCTTTGGAGAAATCAGACACCCACCTGGTTTTTCCTTCCTTCTTACCCTCTAGTCACAATGAGATATATGAATTGGAATTTAATGTTAAATACACACACACACAAATGTAGAGTTTTTATTCTCAGATATCACCTGCCTCCAAAACCTCCCATTCTCACAGTCTCTCCTTCCATCTCATTTATCTTATCCCCTTGTACCACAGCTGGCTCACAAGCCCTTTTTCTATCACAGAAGAAAAAAATAGTAATTTAGGTAGTCATAGGTTTCCTATAAACAGTTCCCCATAGGAATACTATGTCTTTTCAACAACTATGTTTTGTACTAGAAAGATTAGAATGACTATTTTTGAATATTTTTCCTTCATCTTGTTTTGTGCTTCATATTAAGTAAAACTTTGTGATTAAAGTTAAAATTAATTTCCAAAATAAGTTTGAAATATTTGGTATGTGAAATTATGGCAGTGCCAAAAGTATGTTTATGTAGCTAATTCTATGAAAGCATGGTATCTTTTCTCATGTTTTGTTTTTGGAAGTATGTATTTAGTAACTGAATCCCCTTTTTTCTGTTTTATGGAAAATGGTAGCTTTGGCCTTAAATGTACCAAAAGGATTATCTGTAGGATAAGGTGTAATAGCAAATGGACTGCTGACCCATCAAAAGTACCTGAGAGTTTTTTATTGAGCAATCTAAAACACTTATATATGATAGAATATATAAAACAATATATAAAAATTTACTAGCTATTAAATATGATTACCTGGGCACATTTGCCATTCCAGAACCCAACCAGCCTTAGATTTTTTTTATATGTTTTATACCTTTTATCTGTCTTTGGACTTTGTAAGGAATGTTTTTGTTTGCTTTTGTCTCTTCTGAAATGCTGTATGTGCTACTTACAGAGCGCTGTGCAATTAATTTGTGACAATGTAGAGTGCCTCCACAAATTCAATAAAGTTTTTAAATTTGAAAAAATATCGTGTGGCCTTCAGAACCATATGTAGCATGTGTGTTTATTCTTGGAACTTCACCAAATGGTATCTTACTCAACATGGATCTGTTGTCAATCCCACTTCCTTGGAATAAATTTGACATCTTACGGTATTTACTTATAATTGAAAACTTATATTGCCAAATTCACACATTATCACTTTTGATTTCTGTATTATAAGGGCCTGTCTTCATTACTCCTTTAAGGTTTTTCCAAGTTATCACAATTTGTGAAGAATTAAATTTATTTGAATCCATTTAATTTTTTTGTATACATACTAAATCTGACTTGACTTTTTAAACTTTGTTTTCCAGTTCTCAAATTTCTATTCCACTTTTCTCTCCAGTCAAAGCAAAATCCAAATACCCAAAATTTAAGAAACTCAAAGGGATTATCTATTTAGAGTTGGAAACCATCTAATCTAGTCTTTAAATTTTACAGTTGAAAAAAACTGAAACCCAGAAAAGGTTGTGCTGTGGTCACCCAGTTGTCGAAAAAGCCAAGATTCAAACCCAGAACATCCAAATCTTTTCTGTCTTCCACTTCACTAGGCTGCCTCGTTTTAAATAGCTCTTGTCCAGAAATAAAATCTTAATCACCATAAGGGGAGGGAGCACTTGAGTCCCTCAATCTGAAATAAAAGTAGTATTACCTTGGTAAAATCATGTTTCATTTCTAATTTTGACATTACAATAATGGTTAAGATCCAGAAAGCTGAAGAAGAAGCTTACGGTGACTTTCTGCAACTGCATCCATTTCAGGGATAGGGGGTGTGCAGTATAACCCTGGATTGTTAGCCCAGCATACACATTCATAGCTGATTATTGGACAAGTAGTCACATAATTTTTTCATTTGCTTAAGTGACCTATCTGTGTATTGGTTATTTCATTAAGGGGCCAAAGAAGGAAATGGTGAGAGCAAAAGAGCAAAATCCATAGATATTAGAACTTTAGTTTTCTGATTCTTTAAGCAGTGGCAGCAAAGCTTATGACCAGGAGAATGGAATTGCTATCTTTCATTCTTTTAAAAAGATTTGTAACAAGAAGATAGCTTATGACCAGGAAGGTTATAAGCCAGTTAGCATCTTGGTAGATTTATAAACTCCTTGAGCAAAGGAATTTACCTTATAATCTCCATAATAGCTAACAGGGGTGCTTAACAAATATTTTTAATTAAATTAATTTCTCAAGCTATTGACAGAAGGGTGTTCTGTGAATGGTTTTCTTTGTCATTGCATACAATTTAGCCCCCTTCGCCCAGTGCATTACAACCACAAGGATAAAAAGTTTGCCTTAGAGAACATGTAACTAATTTTGGTTACTCCCACTAAGTACCATTTGCTGGTTAACTCTGAAGGAATGGCTAAAATCATTCTGTAACATCACCTATTTCTTGAGTACACGTAATTAAACAGTTTTTGGTTTACTTCTTACAAAGTTTAATTTCTAGGTTATACTTAAATTATTGTTTCAATTAAAGTACTCTGTAGAGCACTTTAGAATATAGAGCTGAATGTGCTTTTATAAAAAGGAGATTGGTCCCAGAGAAAATGGTGGGGAGATGAAAAGAGTAAACAGCATGAAGAAATGGTCATTTGCTTGAAAAAGATAAAATAGGACACACAATCAAATGGGAAAGTGGGGAACGTAAGGCCTAATTTTTGGACAGGTGTTGCATTTAGCTGCTTTTTGGACTTTTGCATTTATAGGAGTAGGAATAAAATAGTTGAATTTTTAAAAGACACATTAATTAGATAGATTTCAAAGCAACAGCAAGATGAATTGAGTTAATTTATTTTAAGTGCCAACAAATAATGGTACTTTTGATGTTTTTCCAGAGCTCAAGCTTGAGAAGAGAGAGCCGCTAAAAGGCAAGGCAAAGACTCCAGTAACACTCAAACAAAGAAGAGTTGAACATAATCAGGTAAGTACCTTTAGTCTTAGGATCTAGTCACTTAACACGTATATTTATTTTTTTGGCAGTTGGTCATCTGACTTAATTTTCCTTTAATGGATGATATACAGGTCCTAACCGGTGCCATAAACTGTTAAACAGTAGAACCGGTTTACTAATATGTTGTACAATTAAATACCATCAAAGTCTGAGTTCTTGTCACGTGTTCAGTGTACGATAGTAGCTCATGATTTCTGTGAGACGCAAACTGACAATCCACCCTATGGCGTTGAGAAACATTAAGAAGACATGAACAGCTGAAGTATAATCTAAAAGTATAAACAGTCCTCTGCTGTCTGACTTAGAAACATCCTTTGCCTCCATGTAGCCACCTTGGAAAAGCTGACCTAGGAACCATAAGAGTTTTTCATGCTCCTGCTTTGGACTGTTGTTGACTAGGACGTCCTTTACTTTGGTCCAGAGTGAGTTTTCAGGTCTTAACACGGATTGGTGAGAAACAGATCCCCAAACCCTCTTTTTTCCTCCACTGCTATGGTTCCCCATCGCTGATGCTGGTTTTTCTTGGCCTCCTGAGACAACGCTCTCTTTCCCAGAGATATTTTTCTCATCCTTACCTCAGAACTCCCACCTCTCCTTATCTCCTGTGGTAAAATGCCCAAGATTGGCGGTTACTACGGTTGCCCCACAGTGACTTTGAAGACAATTCAGGACCTGGAAGTATCTTCCGGACTTGATGGCGGCAAGAGGTCTTTCCCCTATAAGTCCTGCCTCTTCCTTCGTCACCTTCTATTCCAGCCCTTGAATCCATTTCCCCCGTTTATCACCACTTGTGTCGTGGGAGAGGAAAATCAGCCTAGTTTTCCACTATATGTTACTGGTATCCCAAGTGGAATAACTGAATGCTTCCCCCCATAAAACATGGTTACATGTGGCAGTCAACTAAATTGGGTCCATATCTCTTATTACTAATCCTGTGTCCTTGAGCAAGTCTCATGTCTCTGAGCCTCACTCCTTTTAATCTGTAAAATAAGGACAATACTTGGTCTCAAAGAACTGTTTGTTACAAAGATTAGAGGAAATAGTCGAGGACTTAGATTCTAGGTTAAGTACTCAGCAAACTTTAGAGCATTACATAAATGTAAGCTGCTATTATTACTGTAGTACTATGTTTCAGCTGTGTTGCGTTAAGACTTTTTTGGGAATCTACCGCTTCAACACAGTTTATTTTGGGACTACAGAATCATAGATTTAGAGCTGGAAGGTTAAAAGCTGTCTTGTCCAGCCCGCTCATTTTACAGTGGAGGAAACTGAGGCCCAGAGACATTAAGGATCTTGCCTGAGGTCACAAGAGGCAGGATTTGAACCTGGGTGGTCTTCTTCATCATCATCATCTTTTTTAAGTTCTGCAGTTTTTTTAAGACTTAACAGCAATTCTTGGAATATCACTCATTTAAAATTTAGAGATCTTTGGTATCTGTGCTTCTGAACGAATAGGCCAGAAGGGAAGGGACAGGGAAGTGCACAGCGGGCTCCATCTCTGTCCCTCTTGGTGCCCTCCCTGCCTTGCCGGGTTCCAGGACTTAGTATGTTTCTCAGCCTCTAGGAGTGCCCTGATGCCGTCTTCACCTGAGGTCGTGCACACGTCTCATTTGCTGAGGCAGACTTGAAATTCTTAAAACAGAATGTTAGTAATAGCGTAAGGGGGAACAAATCCCAAAGGCTATTGAAGCAAATTAAAGGGTGCAGAATTCTGGTTCTGAGTTTAGTGTGTAGCCAAAGAGAGCTTAAATGCAGTTTACATTCTTCTTTTCATTGACTCAGTCGTGTTTGGCTTAAGATAGATTTGAGTTGGTACCACCTCCATTCTGGAGGGACCCTTATGCCCTTCTCTTCTGCCCTGTCCCTGGGAAACTCAAGTTATAGCTGGTCTTGCTTTGCTCATAAACGAAAAGGCTACTTTCTCATTTCTCTCCCTCACCTTCTGTCCTCCTACCCCTCCTCTTTTCTTGGGCCACTGCTGCTAGCTTGCCCGTAGATGTTTTCTTCATCCTTTTCCCAGAGGGCTCTGACTTAGCCCCCTTTCTCCCCATTCCTACCTAAATATTTACTATCTAGTCTTGTAGGATCAAATAGAAATTCTTATTTATTCCTGGCCTGACCTGAAGCCATCTTTTGGACCTTCTTTCCTCTCCGACACGTGGATCTAGCCAAACCTAGCTTTCTTTCCCTTCTTCTCAGAACAGTCCGTCCTCTATCTCTGTCTGGTGGCCGAAGCACTCCCTTCTTAGTGCTGGCTATAGGACCATCTGATGCATCAGGCCTTTTTTGATCCCCCCAGCTGCTAGTGTTGTCTCTTCCAAAAACTACCTTGTATTTAACTAGAGATCTGCACTCACTTACTTTGTCCTTACGCTGTATTTGTTTTTATATAGACTTGTTGTTTTCCCCATTAGAATGTGAACTCATAGTAATTGTTTCCTCCTTTGTTCTTTCATCCCCATAACCCAGCACAGCGCCTGGCATATGGTAGATGCTTCATAAATACTTATTGATTAATATATTACTAAAGTAGACTGTGAAACCAGGACTCTTCACCTGTTGTTTGCTAGCAGTCATGTGACCTAGATAGCCAATGCCATGTTTCCTGGAATCTTGTCTGTATCATCAGACGGATAGAAGCAGGGTAGTTGTCTTAACTTTCCAAAATTTTCTTTCTTTTTGCACTGTGGGTTGTGTTTCCTGTTTTGAAGGAAAACTCCAGCTCTTAGGTTATTTGCAGAGATGAGATAACTCATAGGACCTAATAAATTCAGAGTGTGGTCAAGCTCATGTTATTAGCTCACTTTACTAGATCCTCTTCAGTGACTCCTAAAGACAAGAGTGATCTTTCATAACAGTTTTATTGTTTGGCTGTTTGTTTTTTATTCTTTGTGTGTGTGTGTGTGTGTGTGTGTGTGTGTGTGTGTGTGTGTGTCCAGACTTTTGATATGTCAGTGTGAGGACCTCCTGGTTTGAAACTCCTACTTGATAAAACTGCAAACTGTCTGTGACTTAATCTTTTATTTTTTTAATTTATGGAATAAAACAAGCATTTCCATAACATAGTACAACAAAAAAAGATGATTGTACATGAAACTGCTAATCTACTATTCACAACTTGCTATTCCTTTCAAATTATCATGTAAATTTCTTCCCTCCCCACCCATTGCTACCATTAGATACAAATAGGTATATTATATGTAAACTTATTCTATACTTACTAATGTTTATCAGTTGTTTCTCACAGCATGTCCTGATTCTAAGTTTACCTTTGAATTCTATTTTGGCATAGTATATTTATGGGGGGGGGTGCTTGCCATTATTGATAGGAAAACCATAAATCTCAGAGTTATTATCTAGTTTGCCTACCTACCTACCCTAACCCACACCTGATTCTCTAGATGCAGGTAGCATCTTTCTCCGTATGTCTTATAGTTAATTTGGCTATTTATAATACATAAAATAACTTACTTGCTCAAAGTCATTCTTAAAACAGTATTGCTGTTTACTGTATACAGTGTTCTATAACTTAGTCTTAAAGAGTTGCTAGAGGCAGACAGGACTTGAATAAAAGTCTTCTGGATTCCCAAGGTTGACCTGAATAAAGCTGCCAGGGAAACAGAGTGAAAGTCTTGATCTGTAGTAAAAGACCAGCTAGCAGAGTAGTTGTAGAGAGTAGGGAAGTGTCCGAGCTGTCAGGCAATGTAACAAATCAAATGAGCAATTTAAGGAATTTCTTTTGAGAATTAATTAGATAATTAGACTAGAGTTTCATATGAAAGGAAATTGCCTTAATTCAGGAAATTTTATGTAGGATCTTGTCTTAAAAATGAAACAAATGATAGATTTGGGACATGGGGGGGAGATAAAATTTGATCAAAAGCTTTATATACAGAGTAAAAAATCATTAAAATTACTTTGCTTTTTTTTTGCTTGAGAAGTTGACAGCATAATGCAGTGTCTGCTGATGTGGAAAGTTGAACACAATAGAAAATTGAGGAGGATAGATATATACCACATTGAATATATTTTGTATATGTGCTTAATCTAATCCTTTTGTTTCCTTACTGTTGGTTGGCTCATAACTGTCTTAGTTTTATGAGTTCCAATCCTATATGGGTCTTTTTCATATTATCTTCTGAATTCTTGCTTGCTTATAGGTTAGTTTTTTTTTTAAATGTGATAGACAAACGCAAAAGCCAAGAGGATATAGCTTTCTGCTCCCTGCACATTATCTATTTTTAAAACATTTTCTTTTTCCCCAATTATGTGTAAAGACAATTTTTAACATTAGTTTTTCAAAATTTTGAGTTCCATGTTTTCTCCTTACCTTCCCCCTCCCTGAGATGGTAAGTTATTTGATATAGGTTATACATATTTAATCATGCAATGCATATTACCATGTTAATCATGTTATGAAAGAAGACACAAGACCCAAAGGGGAAAAACCATAAAAAAAATACAGAAAGTGAAAGATAGTATGCTTTGATCTGCATTCACACTTTATCAGTTCTTTCTCTGAAGGTAGATGGCATTTTTTCATCATGACTCCTTTGGAATTGAAATACTATATTCACAGTTGATCATCATAACAATATTGCTGTTACTGTATATGATGTTCTGGTTCCACTTACTTTACTTTGCATCAGTTTATTTAAATCTTTCCAAGTTTTTCTGAAATCATCCTGCTTATCATTTCTTATAGCACAATAGTATTCCATTACATTCTTATACCACAACTTGTTCAGACATTCTGCAATTGATGGGCATCCCTCAATTTCCAATTCTTAGCTACTATACAAAGAGCGGCTATAAATATTTTTGTACAGATACATCCTTTCCTTTTTTTTTTTTTAATCTCTTTGGGGTACAGACCTAGTAATTGTATTGCTGGATCAAAGGGTAAGCAGTTTTATAGCCCTTTGGGGATACTTCCAAATTCTCCACAATGATTAGTTCAGTTCATAACTCCACCAGTAGTGTATTAGTGTCCCACTTTTCCCACATTCCCTCCAACATTTATCCCTGCACATTATTTTAAAGAATTTTGGGTAGGTTATTTTACAGTTGAGATCTCCATATTTTACCGTTTTCACTTTTATTTAAGCTCTAAGCCATACAATAAATCACGCTATGTCCTGATTCTAAGTTTACCTTTGAATTCTATTTTGGCATAGTAAATTTTTGGGGCGGGGGGACGGTCCCGCCATTACGTTGATAGGAAAATCGTAAATCTGAGTTAGACTTATCAAGTTGATCTTCCCACCTACCCTAACCCACACCTGAGCAGGATTCCTGTGGCAGTGTCCTTGGAAAGTGGACATCCCGCACTAAAGAGCTTCCCCAAAGCATTCCTTTTTGACTTTTGGAAAGTTCTCATTATTAGGAAACTTCTTTAGACTGAGCCAGAATCTGTTTCCTTGGTACTCTGTCAGCCTTCTAGGCTGAGCTAAGCACATGTAATTGCTTTTCTACTCAAGACACTTAACAAGTTACCACTGTCTTCTTTCTAGATTAAACAAAATTCCTAATTCCAGTCCAACCAATTTTCTGTGGCTTGGTTTTAAGTCCTCCCATCATACTATTTGCCTTCCTCGGGATATTCTCTAGTTGTGTAAAGTCACTCCCAAAATGTGGGAACTGGTCAGGACACAATATAGCAATATTGTCAGCTCTTTCATTCTGAGTATTTTAGTTTTTATTAACCCAGTCTAAAATCAGATTAGGTGTGTTTTTGGTTGCCACACGGCGTTGCTAATGAGTGTCAAGTTGGAATGCCACTAAAACCTTGAGATCTTCCATGTTAACTTTTCCAGGTATACTTTTATATATTCCCATCCCTCTAAGACATGGGGTCCTACCTGTCCTTTTTTCCTGTACTTTTTGAAATCTGCCCATTAGCAGCTCAACTTTTAGTAGTTGACAGACCCCTCTTGTTGCTTCAGTGGTATTTTTTGTCATCTGTTTCTACAACTCATCTATTTTGTTCCTTCTGGCCTAGTGGTTTGTAATTCCACAATATGAATTCTGTTTTTTCTTCCTTTGATCTTTGTTCCAGTTTCAGATACCATGCTTCCCTTTTTGTGAATCCCATAAAGTCACAATTATCCTCTTTGCCTTACAATGTTTAGTTCATTTACCATGAGATGAAATTTTTAAAAAAAAAATTTTTTTTAATAGAGATTACCATTAAAGGAAATATGTCAGACTTTGCTAGCATAGACAAGATATTGCTAAGAATGAGGCTTTATTTTAGTGGAAAATCTTATAAAGCTAGAAATGCATCTATTAACAGACTATTTAGTATAAAAACAAGTACTTAAAACTATTGGCTTTAACAGTATAGTTGAATTTTTATTTATATTTTTTTATTAGGTTAAGTTTAGGTTAATTTGGGGTTAAGTGACTTGCCTAGGGTCACACAGCTAGTAATTTCAAGTGTTTGGTCTGAGGCCAGATTTGAATCAGGTCCTCCTGACTACAGGGCCAGTGCTCTATCCACTGTGCCACCTAGCTGCCCCTATAGTTGAATTTTTAAAGACATTTGAACACACAACAGCGATAGAATTAAAAGAAAAATAATGGGCTGGGGAAAATTCTGTGGCAGTCAGGACAAGTAAAAACTTGGCATCTAAAATATGTAAGAAAATTTAAAATTTATTCCCAGGCCACAAATGGAATTTTTTTAAAAAAGCATGGTAGTTACTTGAAACAATGTTAACCAGATAAATACAAATGAAAATAATGTTGAGGTACCACTACGCATCCATCAAATTGGTGTAAATGAATTTTTAGAATGACAGTGCTGGTAGAGTTGTGTAAATAGACGTGCTTGTTCATCATTGGTGGAATTGCAAACCAGTAGAATCTTTGGAAAATGTAATGGGATGCAGCAGAAGTTATTTTAAAAAAAATTTATACCCCTTGACCATCCAGATCTCACTGTTGGAAATATCACCTGAGACTCTTATTAAAAAGAAAAAGAAAAGAGAGGTTACATGTTCAAAACTCCGCTATTTATAATTTTTTTTAAAATGGAAGCAGCTTAAGATTCAATAATAAATATATTGTAGCATATTAATGTAATGGAATGCTAAAATGCAATTAAGGTTATATATATGAAAGAATATAAAAAAATATTAGAGATGGGGAGTAATATGGAAAAACCTCAGTGAAATAATGCAAACTGAAAAGAAGCAGAACCAGAAGAACAAAGGAGTGTTGCTAACGATGACAAAGGAAGAAGAAAAGCAGGTGAAAATGAAGGGACTAAGAAAAGACTCTTGGAGACTTAGAGAGGCCCCAGAATACACCTCCTTGCAGGTGGAAATGCAAAGTAGTATTTGGTGAACATTTTATTTTAAATATATACATACACATACAAGGTGGCCTTTAGATTAAGCTGTTTTACTTGATGTCTAGGAAATTTTAAATTGCTTTTAGATTTCTTTACTCAGGGTGAGTTACCTCTTGATTCTATATGAAGCAGCCAAGGGCACCACAATGCACATAGCTCTGTGCCTGGCATCAGGAAGACCTGAGTTCAAACTCAGCCTCTGGCACTTGGTAGCTGTATGACCCAGGGCTGAAACTCAGTTTGCCTCAGTTTCCTCAACCATATTATAGGAATCATAATAGCACTTCCCTCCTACTGTTGATGTGAAGATCAAACGAGATGATTTTTGTGAAGTACTTAATAGCACAGTGCCTGGCTCATAGTAGGCACTTAATAAATGCTTGTTCCCCCTACGATATCAGATGAAGGGACCACTTTTGAAACTAATTCAAACAATCTGGACTTAGGATACATAGAAAAATAGAGTTTCAGAGCTGGAAGGGACCTCAGAAAATCTGCCCTCCAACCCTCCTTCCATTAAAGAAACTGAGAACTAGACAGTTAAGATCAAATGTGATAAATATGTAAAGTGCTTTATATTCTTTAAAAACCTTTGTTAAGTGTTAGTTGTTATCATCATCACCAGATGATGATGATACTGTGATTTGCCCATGGTCACACAGTTGGTTAGTTACAGAGCCAATGCTGGAACCTACTTCTCCCAACTCCTGGGTCAGGGCTTGTCTGCTAGACCACACAGCAGATCTCACTTATCTTAAGTCACAGAGCTAGCCTTTCCAACCTGAGTAAGTTAAAGGGAGATTCAGTTTATTATTTCTTACTCAAACATCCTGGAGCCCAACAGCCCACAACCTATACACCAGAATACTCTGCTTAGGCCCGGGATCATCTTATATTATCCAGAGCATTTTTTTAAACCCTACGTTGTCTTAGTTGGGTTTCATAATGACGCTATATGGCAAGGATCTGTGGTTTCATCGGTGTGTGGATGTTACCTCCACTGATGAAGATTGCAGCTTTTCTGTCTCAATATATAACCTTTGAGGGTTTCTGTGACTACTCATACTTTTGAGATTGAGTGATTGCTCACTCTGCAGCGTGCCTGGTTATGAGATTTAACAACTTAGCTTAATTCTCCCCCTCCAAATACACAGTCTGACCCACCAGAGCTTGGGTTACACAGGTACTACCCCTGAGAACACAAGGTTACCTCCATGCCATGATGTGTCATCAGAATGAAGAAATACCTTCATAATTGCTTATATGTACCATTGAGGAATAGCATTTAGGATTACCTCTGCATTCCTTTGTGGCAGGGAGTACCTGAAGTGGCTTCTTTGGCAACAGCATCTTTGGGCCACACACACAAACATGTACCTGGCCTGTTTCTGTTATTCTGTGCAACTTCAGGATTTGTTGCCAGGAACGGCTGGAAACCTGTTAAAAGAGGTGTTTGTTGATTATAGATTATAACCGCATATGTATCATTTATACTGTGCCTAACTTAACTGCTGAACATAGAAGAAAATCACGTATAATCTGCTAATATGCTTAAAAGTTTAATGACAAAACTTTTATGTTTTAATTGGAAATTTATTTGAGCTACGGAGTGATCCTTTCCCCTGTGGAAGAGTGACATGGGAATTGGTGGTTTGGTTTGGTTTGGTTTTTTGAGGTTGTTGAGAGAGTTGAAGATAAGCTTTGATGTCAAAGCTAAAAGCAAAAATAGCTCACCAGATGTCTATCATTGAGCTGAATTAGCCAGTTATAATGTTGAAGAACCATAATTATTTTTGTCATGTTTCCCCACCTCTCCTTATTTGAGAATGTTTGGATATCAGACTTTTAAGTGTTGGAGTTGGGCTTTTCACTTTCATTCTAATGTGTTTTCAGTACTATCTGATGAGATCTGATTATCAGTACAATAAATGGAGGGATTTTCTACAAATTTGGAAATATTTTAAAGGTGTAACTTAGTGTACACAAATGTCGGTGTAGCCATTTGATGACAGTATGTTGGCCAATAGCATGCATTGCTGTGGGAACCAGGTGGCTTGGGAAAATTTTTTCCTGAGTGATAATGTAGCCATTAGTTAAGGTGTTGGCGTTTAATGTTGGTATATGGCTTTCTAACTTGTCGATGCTTGAAATAGAGCTATTCTCAAGCTGGACTTACTGAGACTCTCTGGACAAGTGGATCTTCAAAAAGCGGACACCTGCAGGGATTAACTAGGGAGCCTACGAGAGGGTCGAGAAGAACTCCAAGGAAAAGGGTGATGCAAGGCTTATTGTTTAGAATGGTTTGTCAGATTGGCAGGGCTTTAGTGACTATTTTACATTTATTGTTTTTGTTTTGTTTTCAAACTAACAGGTGGAAACTGCAGAACAGTTGCGTGTAGATGGTGCAGTCATTTCAGAGAGTCTTCCTATAGCTGAAACTATAATGGCTTCAAGCAACGAGAACTTAGTAAATATGTTTCATAAGTTATGCAAGTGGCCTTCTGTAAATTGACTGATAACTAAAACGGGGGAGGTGGTAAATCTTGACAATTTTCAAATTCATATGTTGTTTAACATACATTTACTTTCTCCCAATCTGCTTGTATTTTTTAAAACACATGTTCCTTAAATAAGTAAGAATTGTTTTAAACAGCCAGTTTGAACTTACCTTTTGTGCAAGGTCTGAAATGGTTTGAAGAATCTTCTTGCCAAAATAATTGAGAATTGCTGTAGCTGAACATGTGCCATGCTTTTAAAATTACATTTATTTCAAGGCTGTACTGCCTGTTTTAATTTTTAAGAGTTCCTAGTATTTAACTATTACAAACCTTACAACTTTGGTTTTATTATTATTTTTTAATCTTTGTTGTGCTTGGCTAATTCTGAGTCTGAATAATTTGAATCTTGGCAGGTTGTCAATAGGGTGACTGGAAATTTCAAGCATGCAGCTCCTATTCTGCCAATCAGTGAATTCTCAGACATACCCAGAAGAACTCCAAAGAAACCATTGACAAGAGCTGAAGTAAATGATTAAAGTTTAGATGAAATGTTGTCATTCCTCTTTTTTGGGAGGAAATATTTATATTTGGATTCTGAAGGGGGCGGGGTACACACACCAAAGCTTTACTTATTGGATTGCACCAGCAGTTAAAATTAGTGAAGTATTACAATGTTTTATGAAGAGATTATGTGTATGAACAACGTAACAGATTTTCAAAGACAAATCTGAATTTTACTACTAAGGGTAGTAAAACTAATCTTTCAGTCTAATGACAAAACTAATGCTACTGTCGTCTTTCTGCTTTCTGCTTCTGAAGTGTGTTTTAAGGGAGAGGAGCATTCTGGTGCTGTGTGGGCCTTTCTCTTTGTTCTGTCTGCTGTGGATAGAATTCAGAAGTGTGGTAGATGGGTACTTTAAAATTGGTGCTTTTATTTCTCATTAGCCAGTGCTGTAAAGAGATCTTGGATGGCTTTGAAGTTGGTTAATCTCTCTTTAACTCAGCTTTAATATATTCCATAACTGGGCTAACCTGCATGGCATCTTACAACTGTTTTACTGGCCTTTTGTAACTACCGGAGAAGACCAAGTGTGCTTGATCTTGAACTGTTTCCTTCAAGTTGACAACAGTAGCAAATAAAGGAAATCTTTTTTTACTTGTTTGTAAGCATTTGCATGTTGCCTAAAAAGGGAAATCTGGGATTGCTGCTCGTTGCTACCTTATAACTTAAGAAAAATTCAATGCAATGTATGTTTTCAATTACTTTTTGAGACTCATAATTCATTCTGTCTAGAATATCTATGTAATGAAGCAAGAGGAAAGAAATTTTCTTCACTTTCATTGTGGGTGATCAGATGAAATGATGTGCTCAATACAGTTATATGAATCCTGATGGTTTGGGTTGGGGGAGGAGTTTGTGTGGTTTTGTTTTCATTTGTGAAACAATAATTTTCTTAAATAACCACATAAAGATTTCTTTACTTAAAGATCACTTAGAGACTTTTGACGATATGAGGACTGCTAATTTGAAAATTAAATAACCACAGTTCTAAGCTAGAAAATATAACTAAACATGTATGGGCAAACAAAAAGTATCATTTTGGGTCACTTTAATTTATATCCATTTTAATCATCCAAATTATATATAAGAGATTTTTACCTTTTTTTATAGGTGGGGGAAATAACATTAACAGAAGACAGAAGAATTGAAAGAGATATTCTTAAAGAAATGTTTCCCTTTGAAGCAGCTACTCCAACAGGAATTAGGTACTTAGATATCTGCTACTTGGGAATTTCTTTGTATTCACACATGATGCAACTGACAACAATATGACAGCAACTCTGCCCTCAGTCTTAATTTTATCTATAGGGGAACAGTCTCTTTCAGTCTGTAACTCACTAGTGTACTTAGAATTATTTTTAGAGTTTTTGAGTTGAAAGAGATCTTAAATATTGTGTAATCTTCACTTTCCAAAAGGTAAGTAATCAGACCTTTGGGTAGGTAAGTAATTTATCTGTAGTTCTGGGAAAGATGTGTGGTGGGTTTTTTTTGTTTGTTTTATTATTAAGAAAAATAGTTTTGCTATTACTCTAGTAACAGAAAAGGCTGGGTTTTATTTGTTTTGAATTGCTGCTCTTGGCCAAATGACCCTGATTATTCCTCTTATTCTAATGTCACTCTTAAGCACTCTAAATTTTACTGGTGTGACTTTCAGATTATGAAAGCAAAGGTCCTACTATTTAATAATATTACTAGTTTTTAAAAGATTGAACCTCATACAGCATTTATTAATATACATTTATTAATATTTATTAAAAATAAAGCCTGATTTTCCCCCATATGAAAAGTTATTTTAAAGTATTTTAAAATTATAATAGAAAATATACTTTAACACAAACTGAACCGTCGTTTTTCACCTCTGGTTTTCTGTAGTGCCATTTTGCTAAATAAATAAAATTACTTGAAGTATGGAGAGGAAAGAGCTGAGTCATGTGTGTATATATATATATATATATGTATGTATGTATGTATGTAGATAGAGAACTTCTATTTTACTTTTAGGGAATTGATGTAAGTTATTTACGTAAATTGTAACTTAGGTTCTCTTTTTTTCCTCCTGTCACAGTGCTAGTTGCCGCAGACCTATCAAAGGGGCTGCTGGCAGACCATTAGAACTTGGTGACTTCAGGATGGAGGGAGCCTTTTCATCAAAATATGTCCCCAAATATGCTCCGCTGGCTGATGACAAGACAGAAAAGACAAGAAAAGGACGGTCCATTCCCATGTGGATAAAGATTTTGCTTTTTGTTATTGTGGCAGTTTTCTTGTTTTTGGTCTATCAAGCTATGGAAACCAACCAAGGAAATCCCTTTTCTAGTTTTCTTAGTGATGAGTCTAATGCTGTTAAGGCAAAGGCCAACTGAATCTTATCTCAATGGCACACCCAACCAACTTGGTCTCCTATTTTTAATAACTATAGAAAGAACTCTTGTTGGCTCAAGAACTACTTTTAAAAATAATGTGATTTCAACTTCTTAAATTTAATATTGCATTGAAAATGAACAAGACAGTACAAATGGACTCCAGTTTAAATGTTTTGGACCTTGGGACTAGTAGGAGATCACTTTGTGCCATATGAGTAATCTTTTTTTAGCTCTCTGGAACTTTTTTGTAGGCTTTATTTTTTTAATGTGAGCATCTTAATTCTTTTTTGGAAAAAAATTGTACATTTGTTTTGTGTTTTGGGGAAATGAGAAGAGCAAAACATGGTAGAATAATGTGAAGCTAAATGTTTTAAATGCTCTGAATTCATGCAGAAAAGGTTTTTATAAATTACTTCTCCTGGACAGAATGTTTAGAGAAGAAATGTGAAACATGATCTAATGCAAGATAAAGGGAAATTCATTGGAGGTTGTGTTTTCTATAACTGCAGCTAAGTATTTGACATTGTTTATTTGAATAAGTACAGCAATAATCGCTTATGTAACTTAGTAATGTTGCTGCAATCCTGTTGTACTCATTTTTACAACAAATTTCTAGTATTATGAGTTCTATTAGTAAATTCACCTAAGCATACAATCAGGTTTTACCTGAAGATCATTTTTTAGTGTTACATTTACATGTTTGAGAAACCTATTACTGTAGCACCATAGTTCAAAACTTAATACTTGTTTTCCCCAGAAATTTTTGTTTCTTTTGATTGCTTTATTGATTTAATCAATTCCAGTTTACTACTAAAATACCATTTAGATGAAGATTTATGTGTGTGTGTGTATGTGTGTGCAAGGAATTTAAGAAATTTGTAATACCATGCTTAAATTTCTTTCACCCATTTGACTTACATTAACTGTTACAACTAGACTCATTTCATTAAGCAAATTTTGCCAATTCTTTTTGCCCTATACGTAATGTAATCTGACTATAATATGTTCATAAAATGCTTATTTTTAAATTGCATTGTTACTTTCTTGGATACTCCATCCTTTACTCATGATACTCTTGATATGAGGAGGGCATTATAATGCTATGTATTCACTCTTTGTAGTTGTCTTATTTTTTAAATTGAAATTTACCTCATATATAATTTGGTTAAGTAGACAGCTGAGATTTTGGTAGAATCAAGTGAAATGTGTACAAATTAGAAGTTGTGCTTTTGAACTTGAGATATACAGCCATTGGTCATATAGCATACTTTATACAAATAAGTTATTTTAAAGTACCATGTCTTATGAAGACTGACATTTCTAATAAAAGAATAAACTAAAGACATATGTTTAGATGGGCACCAAATTTTGATTTGAACTAGACATGTTCTGATGTTAGGTTGTAGATAACCTGTAGGCATTTCACTTCTTCTGTAGGCAAGACCAGGCTCTCTAATTTTGGAGTAAAGGGCCTGAAAATACCAACTCTTAATCTAGAAATATTTGCTGATTAGGATGCAATTGCTTCTTTCTGTTAAGTACATCGCTTCAACAGAGGTCATGTCCTTTCCTTTCCCACCAGGACATGACTTGAGCTTTGGTTGTAATCTACCTTTGTTCTTAAATTTTTCTCATTTAGTTGTTCTGTGTTTAGGTCTTGTGTTCTTCCTTTAGAAATTAAGAAGTCACATGTGATGCTTTAAAACCTAGGAAAATCAACATGACTTAATGTTGTATATATCATATGATCACTTTTCTCATAGGAAAAATGTGGTCCAAAATAGCACAGGTAGCACTCATTAAACATCTAGTCAATTTAAAAAAAACCAAAAACATCCATGTACTCTGTTTTGTCTTTGTCTGTTTTATGCCACTAGAGTAAATGTGTCCGAGTAGTAAATTCAAAGCATTTCTTTCTGATTAAATTGTAGAAGTAGTAATTAATACTTTACAATATAAGCTGATTAATAAAAATAAATAACCTCTAGTTTTGTCATTGTAGTAAGTGCTTTTCAGATAGCATAGGCAAGTTCTTTAAACAGTCCCCAGATAGTAAATATTTTCATGGGATATTTGTGAATTGTGGTGTGATAACATCTTTGATTTTTTTTCATGTTACATTAACATATCCCTCCACATTTCATTTGCAATATTTAAATAAGGCATTCATTCATTAGGTCATCAGTAAGCAGTTATGTGTTGATGATGCCCCTAATTGTCATTGGAAGTACTATCAGTCTGTACCACTGGTAGAGACTCTTTTTTGTGTTCATCATTTTTCCGTTTTTGGTGACTTGGACCTGTCAGTAGTACCCTCAAGCTTTCTTAAGTCCTGCTGGTGCTCCTGGAAAGGAAATAGTTCTTGATCTTCCCTTAGGGTTGATGCTATTGAATATTTCTGTAGCAACACACACACACACACACACACACACACACACACACACACACACACACACACACACACACACTCTCCCCCCATACCAGAAAATTGGCTTCCAGTAAGTGGTGATTTCATCATCGGTGTTGTTCTGAGTATCACCTTTGCTTTAATATCTTTTAACATGACTCTATAGCATTTGTAATAGGTTCATGAATTGGTTGGTTTGGGGGGGGTTTGGGGGGGTACCTGTAGTACTGCAGTTGCTTTTTATTATTTGTCATTTCCTAGTTCCGATTCAAATTGCCACCGAGAGACTAGACTGGTAGTATTCAACATGTGCTTTATTTGATTTTGCCTTTGAGGTTGAGAAAATCTCACAGGAATTAGTCAACAAGGAGTATTTGAAAACAATGTAATACAGTAACATTAAGGCTTACTTCCTTGACAATAAGAATGTTCTGTTAAAAATAGTTAATTTTCTTTATCCCTGAGAAAAAATTGGTCTCAATCTGTGCATTTGCAGGAAAAGAAACAAACGTATGAGTTTCAGACTTGATCTTTTCTTTAGGGACCTGCAGCAATCCAGCAGCAATGCAGAGACGGTCGTGAACCTGAAATCTGATCATGTCCCTTTTCGTTTGGCTTTATCATCCAAAATATGACGGAAGTTTACATATTTTACATATTCATCTCACCAGTGGTAATGCAGTGAATTATGATAAAAGAAGTAAAGGGAAGATTACATTCTAATGAACTTTTTGTTTATGTTTTCTTGATTTTAAATGAAATGGGAACTTCATAGATGAAGCAGAAGTATGCACCTTTTTTGGTTCATCACTTTTGATCAACTCTGATTAGAAAAATTACTTTTTCGGGGCATCTTCAGGCTTCTTAGAACTAACAGTGAGACTGAGATACATCCTCCTGTAGCCAAGTTTGAAGTGTCAGCATGATGTGAGGGAGTTATGTAGATTAGACTAATCACAGTGTCATTCAAAGCTTAGTTCTTTTGTTAAGCCAAATGTTGCTTTTAAAGACTTAGTGCACTATATGCACTATATGGGAGACAACTCTTGGAGTAGAAATCTAGAGACCTCGCCTAGATTCTAAAAATGATTCATCACTAACAGATTGTATAACTTTGATCAAGTCTCTTATCATTGGACCTCAGCTCCTTGTATATAAAATGTGAGGGGCCTAAATTTGCTAAATTATTAAGGTCTCTGATATTTTATAACATTCCAAGAAGGAGCTTAATTTGTTGAAACTATGTTCCTCAAGTCTCTTCAGTAGCCAGAAAGAATACTGATGAAAGTCCAGAAAAATCCTTGGAACTGAGCGGTTCACTCTCTGTGTGATGAAATTTCTCAGTGGAAAACTTAGTAGAGATGGTTTCAGCCATATCTTAAAAGTTGTAGGCCCAAAGTGCGGTAGCATTGCGGTAAGAAGTAGGAGCAAATCATAGTATTTTAGAGTTGGAAAGAGCCTCAGGTTATCTTTTTCCATACTATATCCAAATTGTAAGTCCCATATACACTTTCCCCAGCAAGTGGTCCTCTGATCTCTGCTTCAAGACTTCTAGTGGTAGAAACTCTCCCCTTTCAGTCAGTCCATTTTGAATTGACAGCTCTAGCCAGATGGGAGGTTTTTCCTTATTGGTTGTGGTTATTGCTTCTAGAGCTACAGTTGACTTCTAGCACCTCTTCCATGTGATAATAAATCTTGTTTAAAGTGTTTTAAAAACTTTTTTCAATTAAGAAGAATTATCTTTTCTCCTTTCTTACCTTTTCCTCTTTTATCTACCACTCCCCCATTTGGAGGGGGGAAACCTTGTAATAAACATAGTGAAGTAAAAGAAATTGCCTTGTCCATTCTGCACGTCAAGTTGAGTAGCAGACTCAATCCTCAGTCCTCTAGAATTATGGTTGATCATTCTGTTGACCAGAGTTTTACCAAGATTTTTTAAATTGTTACAACATTGCTGTTGTATGCATTGCTCTCTGATTCTGCGCTCTTCACTCTGCATCCCTTCATGCAAGTCTTCTCAGGTTTCTCTAAAACCATCCCCTTCATTTTTCACTGCACAGTGGTATTCCATCACATTCATGGGCTACATATTTTGTTCAGCTATTCACCAATTAATAGGTCTCCTCTTAGTTTCCAACATGGCAGTTCTTAAAATACTTGAAGACGGTTGTCATGTCCCCATCAAATCTTTTCCCAAAGTTAAATATCCTCAAACCTCATATAATAAGATTTCTGGAAGTTTAGGCATCTTGCTTTATTTTAGGTGTGTCCCACTTATCAATGTCCTTCCTGAACCGCAGCCCCCAGAATTGAACAGACTACTCCCAGACGTCTGACCTGAGTAGAGTACATAGACTATCACCTCTATCATTTTGGATGACATAGGGCTTTTTATTAATGCTGCCCGAGATCACTAAAATCTAAGCATTTCTTGCCTTAATTAGTACTACTTTATTTTAATTCCAGTCTGCTTTTGTACTGTTTTTGTCATCCAGCACATTCTTTGTCTTTCCTGGTTTTGTTGTCTGCAAACCTTACAGTTCCATCTATGCCATAATCCACATCAACCACAAAAATCATTGAACATCACAGTCTCTAAGCAAAGAATTATACAGCCCTTCACAGGAGACTTCTTTTCAAATCGACCTCATAACAATCAGCTTTGGATTTACTTGGTCAGTCATTGAGTCTGTATCTCAGCATTTTATCCACAACAATATCATGAGAAACTTAGCTACTTTGCCAAACTGTAGATGCACTATCCCCGTTTTGCAGTGAATATTCATGTATATATGTGTACAGCTTTCCGCCGTGTCACCTTGCCTCCTTTCGTTTATTTTTTTAGTTGTTTGTTCGTTTATTTATTAGCTGGTCTTGTGTTCAACAATTTTTATATGTATATACATACATATACACACATGCATATAAACATCTACCAATTTAGCAAATGTGTCGTAAAGGAAATAAGGTTATTCTAGCACAATGTTTTTAACCTGTGCTGATTTCTTAAGCACTCAAGCCATCCCCTTTAATAAGCCATTTTAGAATTTTCCTAAGAATAGGAAAGTCAGATTCACTAGCTTATAGTTCAAGGTATCTGCTTTCTCCTTTTGAAAATTGAAGATATTACCTATCTATAATTCCAGGGCACCCCCCACTCCTTTCCAAGATTATTCTGAGATCAGCAAAATAGTTCAGTCAAATCCATAAGTTCTTTTAGTATCCTAGCACGTAATTGATTTTGGCCTGGTGATTGCGCTCAATGACGGGAGATAGGTACTTGATTTCCATCTCCTCAGTTATCTGTGATCTGATTTCCTTGTAAGTGATCTTTGTTTTCTCTAGTGTATTATTCATGGAAAAAATCTATCCCACAATTACCAATTTTCACACACACAGAGTCTCCTTGGTAGAATATAAACTTGAGAGCAATGATTTCATTTCTTATTTTTATCTCTATTACCTAGGATAGTGTCTAGCATGTTGTAAGTGTTTAATCAGTGCTTATTGATTGAGTCTTATCACTTTCTTGGTTTTCTTGCCATGTTTATTTTTAAACAATTTGTTTAGAACAATTTCTTGAAAACTTTACCTCATCTAGATTAGCTTTCCCGATTCTGTCCTTACAGTATCTGCTCATTCATATATTTATCTTCAGATATTTGCTGGGGTTTTTTTATATATGCTTTAAATCTCAACTCCCTATTCATCAGTCTCTTCTTCCTTTTTACTTATCAGAGTATATTGTGAATGTGTTGCCAGAATCTCGTTCCTGAGCCTCCCATGACTCAAACATATTTCCCTTTTGGAGTATCACCTATGAAATCTTTAAAATTTGGCTGTTGAAGTTGAGGATTATATACTCATAAATTTATAGCTGAAAAAGGCCTGAGAGGCCATCTTGTTCAACCCCTTCATTTTTTTTTTTAAGGCAGTTGGGGTTAAGTGACTTGCCCAGGGTCACGCACCTAGTAAGTGTCAAGTGTTTGGTCTGAGGCCGATTTGAACTCGGGTACTCCTGACTTCAGGGCCAGTGCTCTATCCACTGCGCCACCTAGCTGCCCCTCAACCCCTTCATTTTCACAAATGAGGAAATGAGGCCCAGAGAAGCAGTGACTTCCCCAAGGTCACATAGTGTCAAAGAAAAGACTAACTCAGCTTCTCACGTTCTGGAGCCAGAGCTCTTTTCTGCCATGTCACACTGCCTCCTTTCATTTAGTTTTTTCGTTGTTTGTTTTTTTATTAGCTAGTCCCATGTTCAACAGTTTTTATCACCAATTTCAATAAAGCAATAGCAATTAATTTAAATTAATTTAATCAAAAATTCAAGATAGCAATAGCATGATTACTGGCAAGCTTCTCACCTCTGTTTTGCCAAGCAGTTCTTATTGGTCAGAATCTAATCTAAGATAGCAGTTCCTCTCAACAATTCTTGTTTTTATGTATCTTCTGTGAAATGAGCAAATCAGCCATTTGCAGTAAAAACTAGTCCTTTAATCCATTAACACAAAATGGGAAACCAGTGAGTTAATAAGGTAAGTCATCCAAGGCAGTATAACTATATTAAGCACTCCTGCAGT